CTCTGGAAACAGGGGACAAGGAAAAGGGCTCAGTATAGACTATAAACCCATCACTGAAATAAAATATATAAACTGAATATATTAAAGCTTTGAATTTTATTACACTTATTTTCTTCTGAATATCTTACCCTTCTCTCCTGCTCAAGGTAAACCTAAACATGAGAAATGGAAGGATAAAGGAGAACTCCACTAAACGTGGAGTACATCTCGTCAGAGTCTGTGTAGGCCAGTTTGCCTCCTGTTACGACGACGTTTACTTCATCCCCCGCTTTGAGGTGAAGAACAAGGTGGAAGGTCCCAGGACCACCACAGGTCCGTTTCCCCGAGTAGGGTTTGTGATACTCCAGCAGTTCCCTTCTGTACCCAGCCGTGTGGAGCTGAGCCACGCTTGCGTTGGAGACGGACAGCACTGCTTCTACGTACTCATCCCTCTCCGGGGCCAGCACAGCGGTGATCAGGTAGCGCCCTTCATACGGTGATGTGAAAATGCCTGCGGAAGAGAGACGGACTGAGCTTTTCAGAGTTACTCAAAATGGAGAGACCTGACCGCTCCAAGCACGACGACAAACATAAAGCCACGTGGGTTACCCATGGCTACGTGCTGGTAATTGTGACAAGGTCAGCCCGGGCAGCTGACTGCAGCCATGAAGGCAAAGGGTTGTCGCTTTTGTGTTGCAGTCCACCAGTCCTTCAGGACATGAGCAGGTCTTGTCCGCATTCAGAAACCTCCTGGCCTAAGCAGCTGCCATGAGTCGGGGCTGGGTGAAGAGGCGAGAGGCACCGGCATTGCTGTGCAAGTCCCCAGCAGGTTGAGGCACAGACCACCCTCAAGCGACACCACACACTGGTTGAGAAGGAGGCAGCCCCCAGTTACCACTACTGGGGAGGCAGTTCCTATCGCCCCCCTCCTTCCCTCCCTCCTCTCCCCCGGGTGACCCAGCTGGATTAGCCAGGAACCTCACTGCTGCGACCTGGGCTCCGCCGCCCGGGGCCAGGGTGAGGAGCAAAACCCACAGTGCTGGCAGAGCAGAGGTCGTGGAGAGCGGGGCCTTGGTATTCCTGGGCAGCTGTGCAAAACCAGCAGTGGCAAAGCACGCGCCTGTCCACATCCACAGGAAGCTTTTACGTGGGTGGGTCTGGTTTAGCAAAGCCTGAGATAGCATCAAACCCCGGTAACCCAAGCGACTGCCCATGTGGCATCGCTGCGGGTCTGCCCTTGGGCTGTTACCTGTATTGGGGTTGTAATAGTCCCCGTCATTCACAAGCACTTTGTTGAAGTGAACCACGCCGACATCACTGGAGAAAGGCTTCTGTGTGAGCCCAGCAGAAAATGACACCAGGGAGGCCGCAGCAGCAGCAGGTCCTAAAATGGGTAGCAAGATGAGTCAGAGTCACATCAGGATGACAACACAGCCTCTCCCTGTGATGGTTTATAATCCGGTGTCTCTGTTCCTGCACATAATCCACTTGGACTAACCCTGCCACTCGAGGGATGCCATAATTAGCAGAATACGTATGGCTGGCCCAGGTCCCAGGTGTCTCACCATAAAATCTACTGAGCACCATAAAATTCCCGCCTTGGCGCAGCCTTCCTTTATTTTTTAGCCTTCTAAGGAAAAGGTACATGGCATATAAATGCTGGCACCTCTCAATTCAGCAATGCTTCTGCCACGGGCCTTCTTCAGGATTGAGGCTACTCTTGGACATCTCCGCTCTCCGTCACTATCACAGGAATGCTGAAGGGGTATAGCCCCTGCCAGCTTTCCTAGCCACGCCGAAAAGCTGCGCACAGCTTCGATCTCTTGCCTTCTCTGCTGAAGGGCAGTGAAAATAGCTGCAGGAAGTAAGGCTTCAGTATTAAAGCAAAGAGAACCATCACCGGGGCTTTTACCTCTCTCCAGCACTTCTCTTTTGGGGGACTTTTCCCTCCACAATTTGTTTTTCCTTTTTTCAGCAGATCAAACAGACACTTAGGTATTTTGTAGCGGCCATCTGCTTACTAACTGGCTAAACTCTGCTGTTAGACTGGTGTTGGATGAAATACCATTTGGACAATTAAGACAAATTTTTACTTTTAACTGACTGACTTAATGGCAAGTGTTTAGTGATCAACCACTTATTAGTCCCACTATAGCTCCCTTCCCTCTCAACACTTCCCCTAAGGCAGGACACGCTGCTACAAGTACTCAACTCTTGCTGCTTTGTTCAGGCGATTAGGTAAACAACAAATACACTTTAAGTTGTCAGCAGTTGCTCTTTCTGTTCTACCCTGTTCGGGCTAGGATCCATGTCTTCTCCATGCTGTTTCACCCCTGCTCCTTCTTCTGCCTTCCTTAAAATAAATGTTTGATTTTCTCTTCCTTTCAATCTGAGATGCCCATCAGCAACCAATGTTCAAATCAGATGATATCACTTAAAAATTGAAGTTAAAAAGTGACAAAACTTCATCTAAAACGTGCATATACAAATGCTCTGCTATCCGTTTTTTTTTCTGATAACTTGGCACAGGGGAGTGGGAGGGGAAGGCAAGGGAAAGACATGCCTGCAACTTCAGGAATGGGAAATAACTACCCTGGTTTCCCTCAGGGGCTAGTAACCAGCTGCCTCATCTATCTTTGGAAATCTTACTCAGTATTTTGTCTCACACTCAGAGAACAGACAGAAGCCCTTTTTCGTTACTCCTACCTGCCAGTGCGCCTGCAGGAGTACTCCTGTAAGCTAAGGTGAGGTTATTTGAAAGGACCAACATTAATTGCAGGCGTCTACTTACTTAAGCTGCTTCTGCAAAACTCCACCACCTTAACACCACACTACTTCCAGAAAGCCTCTCTTCGTATTCTCAGCTTACTCTGGGACTCAAATCCACTGAAAATGCACCTCCACTAACTTCTTGTTGGCTCACTTGGAAAGGTTTCTCTCCCCGGCAGTCATACTGCACACGCTGTTTGCTGCCTGCCCAGAAACGCTGTCCTCTCCGTTTGGAGTAGCCACAGTTCTGGTCGGGTTGGTGCCACCTGAGTCAGGGAGCGACTCCTGCCCTGGTTTGCCACGGCTTCCTTCCAGATTTTCATGCACTAATTGCTAGAATAGTTACTAGAGTTTGCTGCTGAAATTGCTTCAGACCCGCAGTGTTTGTCCAAAGGAGAAATCTTACAACCTGTCCAAATACCCTGTAGATCAGGTCAGCGGGCAATATAAGGAGGTGCAGTAAAGACCAACGTGTCTGTGCTCTCCTACCCTCCTCCCTGCTTCCAGCTGGACCTGCGCCTGTTTGAGGCTTTCACCAGTCCTACCAGCAGCGCTTCTGCAGAACCTTACAGAGGGTGAACCACCTTCTCTTACATGTCCCCACCTGCAAACACTTTTCTTCATGCAAAGATCAAAGTTCAGCTTCTCTAGGCAAGGCCCAGGCTTGGAAATTGCTTTCACTTATGCAGTTAGTGTTGTGGAATTACAACAATCAGGAAGAAAAGTTAAAGCATTTAAAAGCTGGGAACCACATGCACAGCTCTGATGAAGAAACTGCTAGGCAAACAAAAAGATTCAACCACAGCTTTACAGCTTCTGGGGGAGGAAAAAAACTCTTTGACTTTAGACGTATTCAAGAATTCATATACTTGAGATATATATACACATAAGCAGCAGCAGGTATGCATGTTCACGGCAATCTAGGCTAGTATAATGCATTTGGGGGGAGTCAAAAGACCACAGACGATACAGGGGTGGCCTCTGTTCAGTTACATCTACTTCCACCTATCTGCTAGTTGTACTTCTGGTTCTCCACCTGTCTTTTGACTTCCCAGCACAGTTCATGCCTCCCACAGAGCCCAAGGGCCAGAAGGAGAAAAAGAAGAAAAAAAAAAAATCAAGCAAAAAAACCCCCAGTGCACAGCATAGGCATTTTCCATCAAGATGAAAGGAGAAAAAATAACAGAGTGTGATGGTGCTGCTGCCAATTGCTCAGGAACTGGGATGAGGATTCTTCAAGAACCTACATAGAAGAGAGACCCTAAGTATGTAATTCATTTGTCAGTATGCACTTATGACCACACATATGGCGGGAGTAGGTAGGATATGTCAGATTTCCTCTGCTTGGCCAATATTCCCAAATCTAAATGAGGACAAAATGCGTAACTTCAGTTACAGCAAATGGGACAAAAATATCAGCAATTTATCACCTCCCTGCTTTTTTTTTTTTTTTTTTTTTTAATCTTCAGTTACAGCAAATGGGACAAAAATATAAACCAACATTTATCCCCCCCCCTTTTTTTTTTTTTTTTTTTTTTAACTCTCCAGTTTGACCTTAACACATCTCATTTTCAGGAACATTCCCTCTGCTTATGGGATGGCCATGTAGCACAGCACACTGACACACTCATTTCCATGAGCTGGGCCCATTAGCTCTGCTCTGCTAAGTCACAGTGTTTCTGATGCAGATGGTAACTCACTCCGTGTGTTACAAAGAGACAGCCACTCTTCTTCTGAGTCTGTTAGTAACAGCTCTTTCTGCTCTTGCAACTCCTACCTTTCACATCGCAGCAAGAGAAGGTTTGCCCTAGCACTTACCTACTGTTCCTTACACAAATATCCATCTCCTACCCCAGCTTTCAGCATGCTTCAGTGAATTTGAATTGCACTGTTCTTTCATGCAAATAGCAGCAAAACACAACCCCTGGTGCAATTGTGGGTCATCACCCGTTCTTCACCTCAAAGTCAGAGGTGAGTTCAAAAACACATTTTTCCCCTGTGCCAGACCACTGGTGTGTACTAATGAGAACCCTGCTCCCTGCCCAATGATGAAAAGAAAGAGCTAAACATGGAGGAGAACCCATCACAAGCAAGGCAGGGTAATTTATGTATTCAGTAAACTATTTCTTCAAATCAAGGAGCACAACCGCCAACAAAAATCTTACATTACAGTAACATCATGCCTTTATATTTATTTGAAATGTGTCCTACAGGCTTGCTGCCTGGAGTCACACAGAGAAAGTGAAGATGGTTGAGTATCAGACAAGTAAAAAAAATTTAAAAGCACGGGCAAAAATTAGCCCTTTACCTGCAGGGATATATACACCAGCGTTCGTGCAGTGGTAGGGCTCCCTAGCTCAGCTGTGTTCTTTATTACAGCGTACAAGAAGTTTCTTTTAGAGAGGAGCAACCATCCTCCATTGGAGCTGCAGGGTTAAGGACACAAGCAACGCTGCAAACTGCATGAAGGAGAGGGTGGGGAAGGCAATTTGTGCTTTCAGTGAATTTTTTTTCACTGTGACCCTCTGTATGCTGATCAGAACGTCCAAATCCTCTTCTTGGCTCCGTCCTTGCCTAGTCGTGTGACCTGGGATCTTACAAGCATTTTCTCACCAGTTCCCAGACCAGTTCATTGGCCAATTCATTACTTCTGCCTCTGCAATTTTCTTTGCTCCAGCAAACAAAAATTCTCATTATTGTAAAATTGCCATGCCTCAGTAACATTTGCTGCTGATGGTTCTTTAAATAACAATTGGTTCAACTCTTTCTGTATTAAAAGGGATTAGGTGGATGCACTTTGGTCCTGACACTTAACTCACCTTTCTCATAAACTCCTTGCCTGTGAAAATAGAGCTAATATGTAATATTGTACCTCATACTCTCTCATTAATTCTTGTAGATCCTTGAAGATCTTTACCTACCACGTTATATTGTGAGATGCATGCAAACAGATGGCTAATGAACCTGAAAAACTCAAGAAATACTTTGGTATTGAACGTATGCAAATCATGCCTCAGAATTCAAGAAGAGCACCAAAGTGGGCTAGTTTGATCCCAGAGGACAGAGTTGGAGCCCTCAACTTCTTCCTGAGCAGTGCTTTTATGTAACAGAAGCTATTCAGAAGCA